TATATTACATATATAATATACATATTGTAAGCCCGAGACAGTGCTCAAACCAAACTCACTTTGTTCCTATGGCACATGGACACCGGCCCGCCACCCGGTGCAGACCTGACCCGCTGAGAAGGGGATGCTTCGGAAACCTGAGCCTGAGCTATGCCCTTGCGACCAGCCTCTGCACATAGCGACCACGGACGGTTCAGGCTCAGCCTGGCTGTGGCAAGGGACATGACAGATGCCAGGCAGCCCCAATGACCTGGGGTCCTCCTAGCAGGGCCCCAGCACCTGCACACTGAGGGCAGACAGGATCTGCAGGATGCCCATTTGCAGCCATGCAGATAGATCAGCGAGCGGCCCAGGTTTCAAGCTGCTCCCTGATGCTGGCAGCTCAGTAGATGCAACAGGTCATCCCCAACCTCACCATCAAAGACATGAGGGCCGAGTCACCACTGAGGCCTCGTATCACCTCGTGGAAAGGCAATGGGGGTTTTGCCCCAAGCTGCCATGGAAGTGGGATTAGGCTTTATCCAGACCATTTGTTATCAACCCATTATGTCTGAGAAAACAAAAACCAGTTAAACTGCTTTTGTTAATAACAAGAAGAGTGCACTTTGTAAGGAATCAGAGTGACCGTGTCTGTTTGGAGCCACTCACCCACCTTGAACCCTGGCAGAAACAGACTCTGCCCCAGAGAAGGGTGAGATGGGGCTGGCACACAGCAACCTACCCTAGAAAACCCTCCCACCTCACCACCTTCCTCAACCGGAGGTGGCGTTTGTGCATGCAGTGTTTCCTGGGGAGTATTTTTCTTCATTTTTCTTTCAAGTCTGGAGCCATGTAAATATTGAGCAGCCGCAGCGTCCTGCGGCACAGGGTTCCCCAGTGCAACCCCATGCTCCGTGCAGATCTGCCTCCGGTTGTTTGCTTTGAACCTGCCACCTGATACTTTTATTTGTTTTATGTGTTCAGTTTTGGGCCCCTCACTACAAGAAGGACATTGAGGTGCTGGAGCGTGTCCAGAGAAGGGCAACGAAGCTGGTGAAGGGTCTGGAGAACAAGTCTTATGAGGAGCGGCTG